TATGTACAGTTTCTTTAGGAGTGGGTAGTACTCCACCGTGCGTATGTACAGTTTCTTTAGGAGTGGGTAGTACCCACCGTGTGTATGTACTGGAGTTTCTCTACAAGTATGATGTTCATGATATCTTCTCACAACTTCACAGGTTTTCAGTCATTAGTGTTCAATGTCTCAAATTTGTTCTTAAACTGGTCTCTAAATTCAAATGCTCTTGTTTTGGCTGATGACATTGAGCTTCTCCATAGTCTCTTCCCAGAGATGTACTCAATTTGAATCTGGGGAGGGCCCCATGTACAGTTACTGACTATGGAAAGGGTATTTGAAAAGTTACTGGTTTCGCAAAATTCTATCATGTGATCTCTAGCTCTGTTTCTGTTTCCAAGGCCACATTACCCAACTACTGATCCTTCCTCTTTCACACCATCATTTGCATTCCAGTTGCCAATCATTATCAATACATCTTGATTGCATGTTTCATCAATTTCAGACTAAAAAAGGTGGTAGACGGTCTCACCAGTAGCTTTAATGATCAGTACATAAATTTGAATATCAGTCTTATTAACTGAATTTTCTTGTAGGCATGTAGATACAATCCTATCACAGACATCATTGTACTCCAAAAGAGATCTTGAAATGTTCTTTTTTATGACAAATGGGGTGCCCTTCCTCTTGAATATGTCATTATTGACATAGTAAATCATATGACTGTCTGATTCACAATGGCCAATACCAGTCCATTTCAGCTCACGAATGCCTAGGATATCGATTTTTATCTGTTCCATTTCATTTTTCCTTTCTAATTTTCTTAGATTTATACTTTATACATTGCACATTCTAATTATTATTAGCTGTTTCTAATCATTTTGAGCCATATTCTTATCAGTAAATGAAGTTCCGCAGAGCGTTCCTCCGTGCATATCATTGAAGTCAACTCTTCTTCCGGACGCAGCACTCCCAGGCGCATTCTGCGTGTCTTCCGAGCGGAGGAGCTCGTCTGCCAGCACTATCTGAGGCAGTGCTGTTCTTCCTAAGGTTCCCAGTGGCTAACCCCTCCGAAATCGGCAGCTGCTGCTTTTTCCTCGTTTGTTCTTGGTCTGCAAGTTCCACTGAACTGTGTTTCTGACCAAGATGGATTCTGCTGGTATTTGAAATACTGGTGGCCCAGCGTCTAGCATCACAACAGCATGTCAGCCACCACAGTCTGGCACACAGATGGGCAAGTGGAGCAAAGGAGTGCCTTGAAGCAGCATAACTTCATTTTCTCACAGGTTCAGAGGATCTGCTTTTGTTGTTAACCCTGCCTCATAGTGAATGTCTGCTTCCGGTGGTTTCTGGGACTCTTTGGCATTTCCTGGCTTATGGCCGCATCATCCCAATCTGCCTTGAGGGGAAGACACCCATTTAAAGATTGATTTACTACTCGTGTGATTTAAGGTTAACTTAACTGGTAAACTCTTAACCCCTTTTCCAAACAGTATCACCCTCACAGGTACTGGAGGTTAGGACTTCAATGTATCATTTTGGGGTCTGTAATCCAGTGAATTATTTAATATGGCTTTCTAGCCCTAGCCTGTGTTACTTCTACCAGAAGACCTTCATTTCCGTGATGGGTCTGAGTAAGAACGTGGGAGAAGACACTGACTGGATTGTGGTTCACCTGTGAGTGGTTGTTAACAGGATTAATTGTGAATGCCATCCTCCTGAGTATACAATGAGCTATCTCAGAAGCAGGAAGTGGGGAGGTTTTATTTCCAGCAAAAGAGAAGAGCCAGGAGTGGAGCTATTCCTCGGACCCCCTCGATGCAGGAGACAGCCGTGACATCAGAGATGTGGCAGCAGAGCTGCAGTAGCAGCAGAACCTGGAGCCAGAGCATGAGGCAGAGCAGTGGACTTCCTAGCCATCGAGCAAGTAAAGTGCAGTGTTTGGGGGCAGAAGCTGGGCACACAATGGGGGGGCGCGGCGGGCTGGGTTTTGCTGAGTCAAGGAGTTGGAGCTGAATGTCTTCAGGTTGAGGCCAGCAGTGGATGGGCATGCCCTTTGGGCATTCATTGGTAGTCCGTAAAGAGCTTTGTGAATTTGCCTGAGCAGGGCAGAGGCCGGGCCAAGAAGCTGAGGGTCAGAGAGAGGCCTGCCTGCAGGCAGGGTACAGAAGAGCGTGTCCGGATGGAACAACTGTATCCTGAGCATTCCTCATGTGAATTGTAACCTCTTTACTTCCCTAACAAACCTCACAATGATAAGTACTGAAAATGAGCTCAAGGTGGCCACTGCAACGAGTTCTCCAATCCAGCTGAAAAGTCGAGAGAGCTGTGGGAGACAGCAGGAAAGTTAGAGACAGCTGTGGGCGGGGCAGTTGGTGTTGGAATTGATGGGAAGGTTGGAGGGAGGGGCGTGTCTGACCTCTGCAGTGGTGGTGATCAGCTTTGGTGGGAGGAGGAGGTTAGAGGCGCGCGCCATGCCATGAGAACGGGTGCAATTCAACCCGTAACCAGAGGTGTGCTTCCCTCTCTAGACTGAGCTCCTTGAAGGTGAGGTTTGTTTTCCCTTTGGGTCGCTGGTATTTAGCACAGTGTCTGGTCAATGTTTGTTCAGAGAATGAATAAACAAAGATGAATTTATATTATCACCCCACCCCCACCCTACCTCATCCTCTCAATCGGCTTTCTCTAAATGTACCTCAGCAGTGTGAAGGTCGGGGAGTTCACAAGGTATTTAGACGGCCGGATACATCATTAGGAGCTCAGGTGCCATAGTGGTTATGCAGTGGGTCGCTAACTGCAAGGTTGGCAGTTTACAACCACCCACTGCTCCATGGGCCAGACTGGGCTTTCTACTCCCGTAAACAGTTACAGTATCAGAAACTCACAGGGCAGTTCCACCCTGTCCTCTAGGGTCGCTATGAGTTGGCATGGACTCGATGGCAGTGAGTTTGGTTTGGTTTTGATATATAATTAATCGAAACTGTGTCTCAGAATCCCTCCTTCTGAATGCCATCCCCCCTCGCACAGCTTGGTGAGAAGTTCAAAAGGACTCCTTTCATTAAGAAAACTGCTTCTGCTTTTTTGGATTGATTTAATGAAAAGCCAGGTGAATTTATTTTATGCCAAATAGTGTACTCTAAAACTATTACCTGCCTGTTTAATGAGATAACAAAATTGATGTAAATTCGGAACTTCAGAAGTTATGATAAAATGATTCAACACATGAAAGTGTATTGATGGACTTGGGGAAAGAATAATTTAGAACTGTACTATGGCTTAAATGTTCATTTTCTTATTAAAATTATGTTAAAGACATGAGTATTAAGGAATATAGATCCATACATAATAATTAGTATCTTAGATACTATCATAAGAGATTTTTCACTTAGAATAACAATTTTTATATGCCCAACCATGTAAATACTATATATTTCGTTCTACATGTAGTACCCCATTTCAAGGTGAAATGACATATTTGTGGTAGAAATGAAAGAATATTCTAGACTTATTTTTTATCTGTATTGGCTTTATCAGAATATTTTCCCAAGATAAAGTTAGACTTACTTAAGTAGTTATTGAATGACTTCTTAACAAAATAGTAAAAATTTTCTATGTAGGACTTGATATTCTTCATGAGGCAAGAGAGAGATTTTTCTGACTTAATAATTTTGTACCTTATATTTTCAAGTTTTACATCGAGTGATGAAAGCTCATGAATTTAAAATTAGTTGGATACTCTTTACTGTATGCTTAAATAATCACAAACTCTTACAGAGTACATGTATTAACAATAGTCTTCATTTACTGAACATCTTTTCTCCATGAGGCACTATTCTAAGTCTTTAATATAGCTGATTCAGTTCTTATGAAGCAGGTGTGCTATAATTGACATTGTACCGATAGAAACAGAAGCACAGAGGTGATGTTGTCCACAGTTCTAAAGATTGCAAATATTACAAGAGACAAGGCTAGAGCTCCCCAATTGTCTGGTTCTAATGCCTAAGGAGTTCAGCCACTACCCTCTTCTTAGTGCAACCAGTAATTTAAATATGTAAATCATTCATCAACGATTTCTACCTGCAGTTATACTGACCTGAGCTTTCACTGCTGCCGTCACTGCACGTGCAGCATCCGTAAGGTCCCTCGTCTTGGCAGAACAAAGGTTCAGTCCAAACTTTTCAGCACTGACAAATGCATAAAATGTGCCACCATAGGCAATGTCTACCACCACCTTCCCGTGACCAGGAACATCAACTGTGAGATCTAAAAAATGTTTGAAAAGAAGTTGGTTTTTAATTTTTTAGGCAAAAAGCACATTTAAAATCCTGCCCCCCAGCCCCCCTGTGGCTTGAAGGGGATGGTTCTTTTCACATTGTGGGGTAAATATTTTAACTTTACATCAAGACTTAAATCTCTTTGTCCTGAGAGAGAGCCTCTTAAGCCTTGGAATTCAACCTAGTGTCTTTGATGAGGCCCCCAGACCCCACCTGAGAGTTTATACTAATGAGGTAACTCAGGTTGGCTAGGTCAGAAAGACCCACTTCTTTTTTTTTTTTTTTAATCATTTTATTAGGGGCTCATACAACTATTATCACAATCCATACACACATCAATTGTGTAAAGCGCATTTGTACATTCATTGCCCTCATTGTTCTCAAAATATTTTCTCTCCACTTAAACCCCCGACATTAGGTCCTCATTTTTCCCCTCCCTCCCCGCTTCCCCCTCCCTCATGAGCCCTCGATAGTTTATAAATTGGTATTTTGTCATATCTTGCCCTGTCTGACATCTCCCTTCACCCACTTTTCTGTTGTCCGTCCCCCAGGGAGGAGGTCACATTTAGTTCCTTGTAATTGGTTCCCTCTTTCCTACCCGCTCTCCCTCTACCCTCCCTGTTTCGTCACTCACACCACTGAAGACCCACTTCTTATCAGTCAACCTGAGTCAATAATGCCTCAGAATGAGACCCCAGTAGAGGTTCTGGACATGAAAGCTCCATGGACTTCCTGGTTGGTGAAAGGCATTAACATACATGGGTGTGTAGGTGTGCATTTGGGGGACTGTGATAGGTAGGCTTATTGTGCCAACCTGGCCAATAGGAACATGTGGGATTAATCAGGTTGCAGTTTGATTAGAGAGCAAACACATAAATGGCTCTGCGTGGCCCACCCCCCTCTCTTGCTCTCTTGTGAACGGACCAGCGTGTGACTGCTTTAGCTATTTCTCTGCTTAACTTGTGAGCTACACTACCTGTGGGACAAGCCAACCTGTGGATCATGTCACTAGAGCTTGAGGCTCCTTTGAGACCTGCTTCACCACACTGCTGGTATGTTGATTGCTTGAGCTTGAGGCGGCTGGATCCTGTCGCCTTGCATTGCTTGAGTTCGTATTTCATCCGGGCCTGCTTTGCTGAGCTCCTGAGCTGCTGACTCTTGGTGGCCCACCCTGCTGTTTGCTGCCTGTGGGTGGACTCTGCCTGCATTGCCCAAGGGAAGAACCAGCATGAGTTGAAAGACTTCCAGTATATTAACTGTTCCATGGAAGTGAGTTGATCTGAGCCCTCTGGATTGTTGTGTGGACTAATCAGCTGTTATATTCCTTTGTGCTGTATAAACCTATCCATAGATATATATATATATATGTATATATATGTACATATATATATAAAGTCATAAGGGTTCTAGTTTTGTTTCTCTAGAGAGCCCTGCCTAACACCTTGCCCTATGGGACTCTACATTTGTATCTTTTTTGCTATAATAAAACTGTCATCATTAGTATAGTTCTTTCCTGAGGCCAGTGTTTCAGTAAACGATCAAATCCAGGAGATTAATAGGCCCAGCACATCAGGAATGAGATGGTCCTAAGGTAAGGTGACCAGATGTCCCGCTTTTGGTGGGATAGTCCTGATTTTTAACAATTTTTCCCCGCGTCCTGCAGCGTTTTAAAAAAGCCCCGATTTTTGGTAAGAATGCACAAGCTAGGGTATACGGTTTTCGGCTGCCATGTGGCTGTTTCACCAGGATATGAGTCTTATCAATGGTGTCCCGCTTTTGTCCCGCTTTACCAATGTTAAAATCTGGTCACTTTATCCTAAGGGCCTCTGAACATAAGGCTAGTATTGAAGGTGTAGAGGGAATCCCTGAAGTTGGAGCTTGCAGGTTAAAAGTGAGGAGAGACCCTTGAGTTTAATGCTACTGAGGGACCACGAACTCACTACCACTGAGCTTAGTGCCACTGGTTTCTGAAGATTGAGGCGGTCTAGGACCATGCCCTTTCCCGGGTGAGATGTGACCCAGCTCTAGAAGTGCTGAAATGGAATTGATCATAGGCTCATTTGATTTGTACACACATGTGGGGTCAGAAAAGTGGAATTTGGTATCTTCACACTCATCAGGAAGTGAATAAAGCAAAGTAAGTCAATAAGCATCAGGAAATCTAATAATAGATCTTTAGCAAGGTGCCTTTTTTATTGTTGCCTTAATGAGGCTCGCATAAGTTATAGAGTATCTGAATGCCCTACTTTCCCAATCATGCATAAATATTCGCTAACTACTCTGCGAATCTTTCTAGGAAATATCAGGGAGCTAGATGGGAAACCTGGGACAGCAACTTATGACAACTGTGAAGGAAAACACAGCCCCCAACCAAACCTAATTCTGACTCCTAGCAACCCACTGGGGTAGGGTAGAACGGCCCCACGGGGCTTCAGAGCTTTAAATGTTTAAGGAAGCAGGCAGTTCATCTTTCTGCTCTGGAACAAGCTGATGCGTTTGAACCACTAACCTTGCAGTTAGCAGCCCCATGCTTAATACACTGAGCCCTCAGGGCTCCTTAGTGTAATTCCTCAGAGCAAACCAGCTCACTGCCATCAAGTCAATTCTGACGTACAGGACAGCACAGAACTGCCCCTGTGGGTTTCCAGGACGGTGACTCTTTACAGTAGAAAGTCTTGCCGTTCTCCTGAGGAGCAGCTGGTGGTTTTGAAATGCTTACCTTTCGGTTACAGCAGCGCAGCGAATAGCCCACTATGCCAGCAGGGCTCCTCTGTAGCTCCTGGCCCCACCAATCTACAAGGATGCTTAAAATACCAAGGATGCTGGATCCTGTTCATTTCTTCCCCTCAGCTATAATGTCCAAATGCAAAAAGGACTTTCTATGTAAATTATATGTAAACATTTAATCATCTATTTTCTCACTGAAGGTTTTATTTTCTTTATTAGTATGAGTGTGTGTGTTTTAGTTTGACTTTTATGCATTTTTTTAAGTAGAGAATTTTGGATTTTGTTTTAACGATGTAATGTGACTGCTCATGCCCTCTAAGGATCATGCTGTCACACAGTGACGCTTGCAAGAATTACTGTGTGTATGGCCTTGGCCGCCCTGGCTCACCAGCTCCCAGCTAGGATGACGTAACCAATTCTCTGCCAGCTGCCCCGTCCCAGGCAAGGGAGTGAGGTTGCCTAGGGGAGCGGTAGCCACGCTAGGTAACTGGTAGGGTTTTTCTGATGCAGCCTGAGACAGAAACCCTGCTTTTTTTATGTGTCCACCCCAAACCAAGTGTCACACCATTCTCTCCTAACAGAGACAGTGCCGTTTCCCCGAAGGCATTCTTCATTAGCTTGCTGTGAGACTGACGAATGCCTGGGGTATGAGAGCATCTGTCATAATCAGGTGCAGCTGGAATCCAGTTCCTCTGGGAAGATCAAGATGGAACATGGTGGAACAGAATGATTGGTGTGGCTTGAATACTGTGAGGAACAGAGGTGATGCCCTATTCCTGGATGCGTAAGTCAGTTCCATCAGATAGTAAAGCATCCTACGGAGGGGATTCAGTTGCTTAAATGACAGACCTGAAGTTAGCTTGCCACGCCACGCCCATGGCATCTCTCCCTCTTTGCAATGGTTTGGTGCAAGCGCCTACCTGATAAGCATGGTGCCCTCAACAAGCCCCCAAAGCTTTGAAACGCTCTACGCACTACTTGCCAAAGCAGCCGACTCCAACTCGCGGCAGCACCACCAAGTGTGTCCGATTAGCATATCCTCCGGGGGGTTCCATGCTGAATATTTTTGCAAGTAGATTGCGGAATCTATCTTCTCAGGTGCCTCTGGGTGGATCTGAACTTCCGACCTTTTGTTTAGCAGCCCAAGCATATTGATCACTTGTACCACTCAAGGGTTTCCAAAGGCTGTACCTTAAAACCAAGCCAAACTCACTGCCACTGAGTTGTTTCAGACTCATGGTGACCTTATCAGACACAGAACTGGCTTACCGCATTCAGGAAGCAGACCGCCGCATCTTTCTCCTGCTGAATGACTATCAGGTTTAAACCTCAACCTTTGGTTAGCAGCCAAGCCCTTGAAAATTGTTGTGGGGTGACCAGTTCGTTTTGGTACAATGGTTTGTGTATTCCTTCCATCTTTTGATGCTTCCTGTATCATTTAATATTTTGCCCATAGAATCCTTAAATATTACAAATCGAGGCTTGAATTTTTCTTCAGTTCTTTTCAGTTTGAGATGAACTGAGGATGTTCTTCCTTTTTGGCTTCTTTACTCCAGGTCTTTGCATATTTCATTATAATACTCATCTTCTCAAACTGCCTGAGTGAGTTTAATGTGCCAACCTGGTCGATAAACACATGTGGAATTAATTGAAGAGCGGAGGGATAAATATCTCGGTGAGCCTCGCCTTTCTAGTTCTCGGGTCGCTTGCTTTGTGATGGTTGCACCAGGGTGCAGCTGTCTTAGCCAGTTCCCTGGTTCAGTTTGCAAGGCTGACTTCCTGCAAGACATCCCCAAGGAGAAGCCACATGGACCTACCCCGATGCAGCCCTGGGGGCTGGAGCACCCATGTGGAGACCCCTGCCAGTGCTGAGATGTTTACACATTCACTGACTAGGCTTTCCTCCTGCAGTCGGCATTGTTGTGTCTGTTTCTTGAGATGGAGGAGGACCTTGTGGACTGGTGTTGGACATATGGGTTAATGTTGGACTTGTGGACTTGGGCAGCACCGAGTTGGGATGTTTTCTTGATGCGCACTTAACCTTTACATAAAACTCTCTCTTATACATGAGTTTCTGTGGATTTGTTTCTCTAAAGTACCCAGACTAATACATTGCCCTTTGGCATGTTCTGTTCCACTCTTGTGCCATTTCTTCCATTTGCTTTAGCAAGCCAGAATCCACTTGATGACAGTGCGTGGGTCTGTGTGCATGTTTAAGAGCAAGTTCTAGGGTTTCTTCCAACATCCACTGAGTCTTTTCCCTATAAAGGATTTTTCATACTTTATGGGAACAGATAAGCGCATCTTTTTCCAGCAGAGTTGGTGGTATGTTTGAACCTCTAACCTTGAACTTAGCATACTAATGCCTAACCCATAGGGCTACCCATGTTCCTTTACAGGCTGTGGACACCGATAGAATTCTTAATATCTTGCAGCCTTCCCACCTTGAGGAATATATTTTATCTTAGTTTTTTCAAGGATATTTCATTTAATTCTCACAACTCTATGAGACAATAATATAAGAAACAGTGACATAGAATGATTAAGTAATTTGATTAAGGCCAAGTAATAATTAAGATTGCATTTGTTTTAAGGGGTTGAGGAGGACTTGAACCTAGACAGTAACTCTGCTCCTGTTTATAAATAAGAACAGTAACACTTATCAAAAGCGCCTATTTCATTCAATGTGACTTAATTATCTTCCAAAGACGTAGGGAAGACATTTTTTGCAGATGTAGAAAGGGAGACCGGGCTGGGGGTGTAATAGGTTTCTCCTCTGGTAGAGTTGCAATCTCAGACACACACAGGGACAATTCTACCCTGCCCTATCTGGTGGCTATGAGTTTTGTTTGTTTTGAAAATAATGTATCTAAAGAGGGATACTCAACTTTCTTTGAAACTTTAGGATGTTGGCTGTTCATTGATGTCCTTGACCTTAGTTTATTTTGCTTTTCCCAATGTCGAGCAGGTTAGTTAGTCTGTATTGCACATGATTCTCCCCAAGGCAGCAGGAAGGTATCTGCAGGATAATTGAATTGCATGCACTGAACCAATCTGCAGTGCTAGCATGGTGACACACATTTGCAGTGACTTGTAATTACTATTGTATTAATAACAAGGACGTGGTTAGTTGCGCAGGTGATTCCAGCTCGCTCTAGACTGTTAGCGTTGTTAGTTGCATCCAGGTTGTGGTAGCAGCAGCGCCAGGGGCGGGGATGGTCCCACCAGTTACCTGTGACCAGCACGAAGGCTGGGACGCTGTGGAAGCGCACTGGGCCGCTGCTGCGGCCCCCCTCGCAGGCCACGAAGGCAGCCACCAGCCCGCAAGGGCAGTGGATGTTGACTTGGGCCTCGAGGGCGCCAGCAGGGGGCGCAGGCACCAGCCCGAAATCAAGGGCGAAGCGGCCCAGGGCCAGGACGGCATGGCCACACATGGCGCTGTAGCCTTCGTTGTGCAGGAACAGGACACCTATGTGGGCATCCGGAAGCTCGCTGGGCACCAGGACGGCCCCGTACATGTCACGGTGACCCCGGGGCTCGAACATGAGTCGCCGTCGCACGTGGTCGAGGTGCTGGCGCATGTAGCGCCTCTTGGCCAGCAGGGTGGCGCCGGCCACCTCCGGACACCCTGCGAGCACAATGCGCAGGGGTTCCCCGCCCGTGTGCATATCCACCACCGACAGCGTCGGACTCTGCGGGTCGTGCGGGGGCACCCAGGGCACAGCCGGCACGGGCTCCATCGTCTGGTTTGCCCTCTCGACCTCAGCCCCCGCCGTAGGCCGCTCAAGCCCTAGAATCACCCGAATACCGGCAGAGAGACCGGACCAAGGACAGCGTAAGGGGCGGGGCCTCGGAACGCAGACCCAGGAAGCGCGGGGCGGGGCGGGGCTCTAGCGCCGTTGCCTTGGTTGCCGGGAGGCGGGGCTGCCGAGGCCGCGGTGGCCCGGATGTTCCGACCCTGCGGCAGGCTCGGCTGATCTCGGAGCTTCCCGGTTCGGGAGGGAAGCCTTCGAGCGGCCAATGGGTGAGTGCTGGATAGTTTTGCTCCAATTCCTGCTGCTTTCCGTCCGCTGCCGGCCCTCAGCTGGGCGTCGGGTCGGGCGCGTCCTCGCCCGGTGCTCGCAGCCCGCCCTCCGCGGAGCCCCGGGCCTCCTCCCCCCGGGGGTGGGGCGGGCGGTGGTGTCTGCCCTGGACGGGCCGCGTCGGGGAAAGGCCACTGCTTTGTGGTCGTCTCCTTGGAAATTCCTTTGTGCCGCGTGGAGGAAGCCCCTTCGCGAGGTTGGCTTCAGAAGTGTGCGGGGGACGGAGTCTGGTGTCCCCCGGCAGTACCTGTCTGGGGTCGTTTGCAGAGGGATCCGGAGAGGGAAGGGCTTACCTTGTGCCGCCCTCCCCTAGAGGACCCGCCAGGGAAATGGAGTGGACGCAGGGACCCCGGCTCTGATGGGACAGTGATGACCTGGAGCTGTCAGTTGATTGTATGGATTTTTTAATGGATTATATTAGATTGAACGCCGGTGAGTTTGAGACATCATATGGTGCAAAGCCCCTATGGCAGCAGCTCCCGAGTCTTCCAAGGCCTTTTTTCCTGCCTTTGAAATAGTGTCAAGTGAGGCAAAGACGTGAACATTTGATGAAAGTGAATATATTTGAGCTTCGGACACTGTCGTCCGTGCTATTTCTCACTCCCAGGGCACAAGGAGAAAGAAATGAACTCTCTTTAACATGTGACAGGAGAAAGGGCAGCGGGGGCCTGGCAGGCAGCCTCGCTGGACTGTGACTGCAGGAAGAAATGGGGCCATAGTGTCCCAGAGTCCTAAAACGAGTCTTTATTTTCCAGACTCATTCACCTCTTGGCCGCAGTGATTTTGCATTTATCCCACACGATGCTGTAGGTCCTTCGGGAAGAGACTCCCCCGTCTTGCTCCTCGGTGCATCCTAGCCCGTGAACTCAGGCACTCAGAACGCATGTTGGCATCAGTGAGTTTGGGAAGTCAGCTCTCATTGCCCAAAACTCCTTCAGTAGCTTCCCTGTTGATGACGTCAAAGACAATACGCCTGTCTCTGAATATCTTACTTAGTTTTTGTAAAGTAAAGCTGCTTTCTGTTTTCTGTGTGCCTTGAGATCAGGGGGTTAATTCTTAAAGAAGTGGCTGGCATGCATGCTGGTTCGAGGCCCATGGACTGCCATTGATGTGATTGTCACCTGCCATCCCCCACATAAAAGGGGTTTTATTTACTTCAAACATCTATTTTTTCTTCTGAGCTCATGTTCTGTCTCCTTTCTTGACACTAAAATGTGGTTTGTATAAAGGACCTTGACGAGAGGGTTGGTGTGTGTAGGCAAAAGGACGTGCTCTGTATCCGTTCTTCAGTTAAGACACTAAAAAAAAGCCGGATAATTGCAGTGCCAGAGTATAAAACCAGAAATACAAATTTAAAATTGAATGCATCAGGACTTTTGTCTAATACATCATTTGTAAAATTGAAACTTTTGAGATTCTTGCCAAGTGCTTCAGCTCTTATTGCACTTTTATTGATTTTTGTATAATTACAAGAGATGTTACTATACTGACATTTGTTTTTAAAAAGCTGTCGATATTCAACCAGCATGCCTCGGACTTTATTGTGGGAAGACCCTGTTATTTAAAAATAGCTCAACTGAAGTTTATGGAGAATGTGGGGTAAGTCTTGTATGTTACTTTATTTTTAAATCTGTTTGATTTTGAAATGTTTTCATATGTGTAATATTAAAAATATTCTCACTACTTCCATAAAAGGATAACTAGGGGGACATTAATAAAATTCTTCTTTGTGTTTTCCTGATCATCAGTAGTACAATATATAATAATTTAGCACATTGACTTGGACAAGTAAGCTAGCTTTATAAATACAGAATATTTACAGTTATTTTTATACAGTGTGAATAAGTAGGCTTTCCATTTAATTAAAACAGTCATTCAATAGTCAGTTTTATTAACTTAGTTATATTAAATACAATGGGTTTTGTTTGTTTTTCTTATCCTGCTTCTTCGAGTCCTAAAGGCCACACATAAAAATTTAGATGTTTAAACGATCTTTGGAGGCATTAGTGTTGTAAGAGAATATCTACAGTATTGTTTTCATACATTATAGGTGTGCCCAAGAGGACAGAGAACAAATGCACAGAAACATTGCCAGCCTTGCACAGAGTCTCCAGAACTTTATGACTGGCTCTACCTTGGGTTTATGGCCATGCTGCCTCTTGTTCTGCATTGGTTCTTCATTGAGTGGCACTCGGGGAAGAAGAGGTCAGCACTTCCTGTGTGTGTATCTGGGTGGACTCATGTTAGAATAATTATCATCTAGAAGACCTTTTCAAGTAATTGTTTTTTGGTTTTAAGGGTAGTACGCCTATTTTTCCTTGTATTCTGATTACTTTTATCCTAAGCCATGCCTCCGTAATTTAAATTAATAAGAAGCTAGTTACCCTGTGTTTGCTTTACTTTAAATAATATTCAAGGAATATTTTTCTATTTATCAAGTATGCCCCTAACTGGTTTTCTCAATAACAACAAAACAGCAGCAGGTATTATTATAAAAGGTTATCTCAAGGTTAGATAAATGGACCCCAAGGACAAAATAGCCGAAAAGTAGACCCGAATGACCAGACCTAACATGGGGCTGAGATGATGGGTATCCCAGCTGGACAATCTAAGGTTAGATTTTACCATACATTCTATATGTAAGTGCATTCCACACGAATTAAAGATTTAGATATGACCAGGGAAATGTAATTTGGAATAGGGGAAAGGATCCCAGAAGATTTACATTAGTGGGATGCCATTGTACAAAGTTCAGAAATAACAAAAACTAAACAGTGGGTTTGAAACAAATTTATTTGGAATAAAAACTTTAATAAAAATGAGGAACTGATACCAAGGGCTCAAGTAGGAAGTAAATGTTTTGAGAATGATGAGGGCAGCAAACGTGCTTGACACGATGGATGGATTGTGCTAAGAGTTGTACGAGCCCCCCATAAAAATGATTAAATACAACAACAGTGAAATGATTACCTTTGGGGGAAAGATGGATATGGGGTGGAGGGAATCAGAGGTAGATATATTAATTAACAATATGCTAATTAATGGGTTATATAGGGACTCTTGAGATTTATTGTACATTAAAACACATAACAATCTTATGTATTTTATGTTAAGATAATGCAGGTGATAGGTAACATTAGGAAGTTTTTAATATTTTCTCAGTATCTTGACAAACTATGGATAAGTCTAATTTCTGCTCTTCTGTTACACATTTAGATAGTAGTTTTCATATATTGGCTTTTCTCACCTATTTAGAATATTTTAAATACTGGAATTTGTTGTTAATTTTGTCTTTCTTTTACCACTCTAGTTCCAGTGCCCTTTTCCAGCATATCACCGCCTTACTGGAATGCAGCGTGGCAGCTGTTATCACGCTCCTTGTGAGTGAGCCTGTTGGTGTTCTTCAGATCCGTTCGTGTCGGGTCCTGATGCTTTCTGATTGGTACACGATGCTGTACAACCCAAGCCCAGATTATGTCACCACCGTGCACTGTACGCATGAAGCTGTTTACCCACTGTGAGTAGTGAGCCTTCAGATTGCTGTTTAAAATCTGTGAAGCTGATTTTAGATTTTATTGGTGAACATTCTAAAATATCTTACTGGCACTGAAAGTCATACCTAATGTAGTCTAAAAAGGAAAATAAATAGGAATGCATCCTATCATAGATGTGAAACTATTTTTGTGTAGAAACCCTTCTAAAATCAGCAATGTATGTGTCTTAGAGTTTTTTTAAAAAGCTTAGAAGGTAAAATACTTTCAACATAGCAGAGATGCACTGCTATCTAGCATACAGACAAGATTATGGACTTTGGCCAGAAGTAGACTTAATCACCATGAGCACATTGTTCTCGACAACCCCAAAATTCAGAGACCGTGAATAGGTAGAAAATGATGTTCCAAACAGTGAAGTTTGAGGCTACATCTATCCTTTTCCTGCCTAGAAACCTCGGGATTCAGGATGTCAGCTCTGTCCTACCAGTCAAGATAACCACTGCTAACTATTTTGTTTTATATATGTGTGAGTAATTTTGAAAGAATATGTAGGTTATATTATACACATCATTTTGTAACCTGATGAACATACTAGGTTAATGTACACACTTTGATCATTAGCATTTCTTTCATAGCTGTACAGTATTCCTGCATGATTGTACTATAAAATTTACCCATTTGCCTATTGTTGACTATTTCCCCCCAGTTTTTCTTTGTTAGTAATAAAACAATAAAAGTTTGTTTCTAGAATTTTCTGTGCCCTTGATCCCTAGGGCAGGAACCCTGGTACATATTCGCTGGCAGTACAGTGCATGAAATCTGATTGGCCAACACTTTACTCGGCTGAACATCTTAATGGGGAGGCTTGTAATACCCTTTTTTGGACCTGTTTTAAGACCTTTTATTAAAGAGTATTCAAGAGCAAAAGTATTTAGTATTTTTGTATGTTTCAAAACTATTTTTCATGTTTAAATTTTCCTGGTTTATTTTACAGCTACACAATTGTATTTATCTATTACGCATTCTGCTTGGTGTTAATGATGCTGCTCCGGCCTCTTCTGGTAAAGAAGATTGCCTGTGGGCTAGGGAAGTCCGATCGATTTAAAAGTATTTATGCTGCACTTTACTTCTTCCCAATTGTAACTGTGCTCCAGGCAGTTGGAGGAGGCCTTTTATGTAAGTGTGCATGCTATAATGAATCAAGTGCATGTATTATTATATGTGATAAACAATATTTCCTCTGAATTTAATGTTGAAGATTTAAAAAATATATTTGAAAACAAGTCTTATATTTGTGCTAAAACATGTCAGACTTACAAAAATAATCTTGGACAGCTTGAAACACAGGCTTAAAAGAACCTGAGGATAAGTTGAAAAGCAAAAGCTGTTTTTTGCATGTGATCTGTGGAAATTACTCTCAGTAGTATATGACTTTTAGTATTAGGTTAAGCAGATTTCTCAGTTCTTCTAGGAAATCATTTTAGATACAGTGAAAGATTCTTAAAGGGGCCTTTAATTTAACAGGCCCCTTTATTTTTTAATTGTTCAGTAACCAATCAGACTGAATGTGAACTTTTAAAAATGACTGTTTTACTCTGTTGAGTCACCAGACTACTCGGAGATAAAATCAGCAAAGACATGGTATAGTACTTGGGTAAACAAGGAACATTGTGAGGTCGTTTGAGCTTATGCATCTATGTAGTTGGGTAATATAATTTGGATCTAAGATAGGAACTGAGAGTGAGCCCTAGGGAAGAGATTGGAGACTAGGCAGAGGTCTGTTGTCCTTCTAACTTAAGCTGTAGGAGATACTACAATCTAAGAACCCCTTTGGGCCAGTCTACTCTGCCCTAGAATGTCTGATTAGGAATCCACTCAAAGGGTGTTCCTCGGTGCTGTAAACAGCAAACAAGCTCAGCTGCTAACCTGAACTTGGAGGTTCCAGTCCACCTAGAGCCCCTTTAGAAGGAGATTGGTATAGAATTGCTACTTCTACACAAAAATAAGGTCATTCTTTTTGTATAATAGATGTCTTTGGGCAGGGGTCTGCAAAGCTGGGCATGAACTAAAGACGGTTTTGACCTTTTTTAGCAGTTGAAGAAAAATAATACTTCTTGGCATGTGAAATCCAAATGTTAGTGTCCTTAAAGTTTTATTGGAACACAGCACCAAGCATTTATCACTTCTCTCCCTCTTGTGACAAAGCCCAAAGTACTTACACTTCGTCCTTTAAAGGAACATCTGCTGACTTGGGTCATCAGGGCTTATGTAGATTGTTTAGAGAAGCTTTAATCTAGGGAGAAGTTACATATATTGTTTGGGGGTTTTGATGGTTTGTTCAGAAAATTTGTTTTAATTTACAACATAATACCAGTATTTGCCTTTCAGATTATGCCTTTCCATACATTATATTAGTGTTATCTCTGGTTACTCTGGCAGTGTACATGTCGGCTTCTGAAATAGAGGTAGGAGATATTTTCACTTCCATTAAGATTTTTAAGAGTTTTTTTTAAATAATTGATATAGGAATAGTACATATGATATGTGACAGCTGATAGTTTTAGTAGTACTTGGCTAATTGATAAGCCAGTCGATAGCTTTTAGCTCATTGGCTTATGAAAATATGTAATGGCCATATATTTTGCATGGAAGATTACAGAAATAGTGAATTAAGTTATCTGATATGTTTCATTGTGCCCCATACCCTTCTGTAGTTTGTCGCCAATTTACTTTCCTTGATTAAATATTTTGATGATTGGAGATGGCATTAATAGACATTACTTCTGTTGCTGTTCTCTTTGTCTCTATTTCAATGGAAGGCCACTGTTATAACCTTTTATTTCAAGACTAAATTCTTCATACCACTATGCTTGCTAACCTAGTGCCTATCACCACTTTAAACTGCTGTCTCACAACTCTTGTCAATAAAACAGCTCAGCCCACAGAAAATGAGTTGTAGATACTTTGGATTGGTGGCTGTTAATGCCACCGTTTATATTGCGTGCAAAGGACTTCAAAAAGTTCATGGAAAAATTCCATTCACTTGTAACTCCATTTTCTAGTGAGAGAGAAAAAAAAAGACAAGTGCAAGATCATAGTGACCTTTAGGTTGGATAATCAGAGGAACTGCCCCGAATATTCTTATTGTGATTATTCAGATGTTATCCGTTATAGACTGCCCTAATTCTCCTTCATAATCTTTAATTGACAGTGTATAATTTATATTTATACAGTTAATATTGCATAATTAATACTAATTTAATTACGAGCTAAAGATAAACTGGCTTTTATACCTTCAGCAATTCAAGAGAAAGCTTTGAGGGGCTAAATTATTAGATATTTGAATAAAATGCAGAAAGATGAGGCTTACAGACTCGGAAATACACAGGGACAGTTCAACTCTGTCAGTGAGTCTGGTCTCTTGGATTCAAACTCCTTTTGGTAGTTAAGATTTCCTAAGAACTGGTGGGGCAGTGGTTAAAAGTGATCACCTGCTAACCAGAGAGTCAGGAGCTGGAGGTCCTCAGCCCCTCCGCAGAGAACGCTGCTTTGTAGATTGGCAGCCTTGGAAACCCTCTGGGCAGTTCTCCTCTGCCCACTGTGGTCTCTATGCGCTGGGGTGGGTTTTTTCCCACTGCTAAATTCATATGCAACTTACGTTTCTGTCCCCTGTGAATCTCTTCTGTAGAAAATGATTATGTGCTTCAGCTAGTTCTTCACACTTGAATCAAGAAGTATCTACCTGTAGGAGAGTTCATAGTCATTTCATGATAAGAGAAAGGCGATAGCCTATTCAAGCCACATTTTTGTGTGTTTTATAACTCATTTCTTTTATAATGGTTTGGTCTTTCCTATTGGATATTCTAGTGAAGTATGAGGGGGTTTCAGAGGGTTCATAGAGAAGTTGTATTCTCTTTTAATTCCATTATGCCTCAAACTGTCTGAAAACCCCCTCTTCATAAAGAAAGGAAATCAGAATAGTCACATGTCCATTCTTCTAGCAGCAACACTTCAGGAAGGTTAAGGAAATTGGACTTCCCAGAACCTGAACCCAGGGCTTAGAGACATGAGTTTGTCTTGGCACTACTGTTGATGTGGTTGTGTTACCTGTGTGCAACAGATGTGACTGGGGGACCTCAGTTTTCTCATTTGCGAAAGGTGATAAGTCCCTTTTAGCTCAAGCATATGTGGGTCTCAGGCTTTGGTCCTGTCTGAAAAGAAATGACATATTTTACATTAAGATATAACATCTAGCTGATTCAGCCTGGTAATTTTCTCATTTTTCTCTTAAACCCTCTAGAACTGCTATGATCTTCTGGTGAGGAAGAAAAGGCTTGTTGTTCTCTTCAGCCACTGGTTGCTCCATGCCTATGGGATCATCTCCATTTCCAGAGTGGACAAGCTGGAACAAGACTTACCTCTTTTAGCCTTGGTACCGACACCAGCGCTGTTTTACTTGTTCACCGCCAGATTTACCGAGCCTTCTCGGATACTCTCAGAAGGAGCCAATGGTCACTGAATGTAAAATGCCAAAAAAAAAAAAAAAAATCTAAAGTGTTCTTAGTGGAAATGTAAAGAAATCTTTAAAAAAGTATCAGTACTCTCGGCCACACATGGGCATAAGATCATCAGTATATCGTAATGTTTTTTGACTATTTGTTCCATGTGCTATTTTACACTAGAAGCTTCCCAAGGAGCCTTTCTCGACTGCTCAGTTAGTTTTAGGGCAGTCATATTTCTGCATCTACAGCGTAGCTCTCTGTCTGTGCTTTCAAATGAGGACAGACCTGAAGTGTAGCCTGCAGTCAGCAGCGCCGTGATTGCACACCCACAACGAGTCATCTGATAGCAAACATGGAAATAAACTATGTTGGGCTTTATTTTCGCCAATACAGTATTTTGATATGTAAAAATAGAGCATAGTTTCTATGTGACAGGCCTTCTGTTCAGATAATGTGGTAGGAGACGTGTTCAGATTGTTGTACCTGAAAAGAAAAACACAAAATTAAAGGCTTCATTCTATAAAAACCTCAATGTTCTGACGTTTGTTTGTGTGGGTTTTTTGCAGGAAAAAGTCTAAATACTTCGTAAGATGAACGCCTCACATATGAAAGGGCTTTTAAAATTCATGGAAAAAATCCATAACTTTCCATTCTGTTTTTCTTGGAACTTTTTGAAGTCCCCTCATATATCTCATTTTGGAAGAATATAGATACACGCCATGTTTACTGATCCCGACATCCAATTGTATTGTTTAATAGGTTATTTGCTGTTCTTTTGGGTGGGGCTAGGGGAGGGCATTACATTTCAAACTTCCATGACTTCCATTAACAAGTACTCTGCATGAAGGAACGTGCACTTACTGTCTGTAGTTTAGGTCATGTCGTTTGACTTCCTAGAAGTTGGTGTGCTGATCACTGTCTCGTCCACACCACACTGCATTCGGAAACGCAGTCTTTTAGAGGGACTAGGGCTCTCCTTTTCTACAAGGATAAAAATAAAATGTTAGAGGATCCCGGGAAGATGGCCGCCAGATAGGTAGCTCACGCTGGGAGAGTTGGGGGCGGAGTAGGGGTACCAAATGTGTTCGTTTCCCAAGACCATTCAGAGCCTCTCTCCGACCCAGCGGTGGACTCCCACCCATAGCCAGCACTCCACGTGCCTGCTCTGCTGGGACCTGTGCCACAAGGCAAGCCAGGAGGCTGCGCCCGCCTCGGCACTCCGTGCAAAACTGCCAGTCAGTAACCCCCACCCTGCATCAGGGAACCCGGGCCTTGTGTGTGCTCCAACCCGCATGCCCCCGACCCCCTGCAGATTCGGGCCCCATCCGGGCACCCCTCGCGGTCCACCAGGCCAGACCCTCCCCCCTGGAGGTGCGCTCCCAGCGCCACAGCCAGGCAGAAGGCAGAGACTGAGCCTCTGGGCTCCACGCAAACCGCTTATCAGACCTGCGTGTGTGCGTGCGTGCGTGTTGTGTGTATGCGCGCGGGGACACACGCGCACTCCGAGATCCACATGCTGCCACACACTGCTTCAGGCCAGCCAGGCAGACAACCCAAGTCTGGCAGAACTTTCTGCAGCTGCAGCATAGGAACCCAAACCTCTTCTCACTCGGTCCCACCCTTTGGGCTCCAAGCAGTGCATTTGCACACCAGTCGCAGTCCCCCTCCCACCTGCCTACCTGAGGGAAGTGACCCTAGCCAGAAACAGGTCACCCAATCCCCAACCCATCCCCTAAACACGCTCCCCGCTGCACTGGAACCAATGCCTTCTATCAGACCGCAGCTGGCACAGCTGCAAACAGCCCCTAAGGAGACCTGAAGGTGGCTGGAGTACAAACCATAGAAGACGAGAGGGCCAAAGGTGAAACATGGCCCCTCAAGGCAGTGGGCTAAAGGCAGCCTGCTGAAGCACCCACCTCGCAAAGAGCTCAGGGCTCTGAGACACCCGGGAAAATGGCACCAAGTGACCACAAATCGAACAAAAACCAGCAAGCTGCTTCCACAGCTTCAACAAGAAAAGAGAAACAAAATCCAATGCCAGAGGACCACCTGGACCTAACAGCAGTCAGAGAAAAGGCAGAGGTTGACCTCCCACAGAAAGAAATCAGAATGCTGCTTGGAGCCATACAGGACATGAGGGAAGCATTACAGAAAAAGGATGAAATGATAGAGGAATTAAAGGCTATGCACCAAAGGGAAATACAGTAGTCAAAGGGTGAGATAACAAAAACTAACAGCAAACTCACGGACCTCTCTCTCTGACCACTGTGCCATAAGATTGGAAATAAATCAAAGGAAGGTAAAGAAAGTAAGGGCAAACCATTGGAGAATGAATAACTCTATTGCAAAAGGAGAGCATACTGGCTCAGATCAAAGATGAAATTAGGATATTTCTAGAAACCAACGAGAATAGAAACACGACATACCAAAACTTATGGGCCACAGCAAAAGTAGTCATCAGAGGAAGTCTCATAGCATTACATGCACACGTAAAGGAGGAAGAGAGGCATATGACTGATACACTGACACAAAATTTACAGCAACTAGAGCGGAGTCAGCAAGAAAATCCAACGAACAGTAAAAAGAAAAGAAATAAGAATTAGATCAGATTCAGGCGAGAGAAAAAGAAAACTATGGAAAAAAGCAATGCTGCTAAAAATTGGTTCTTCGAACGGATAAATCGAATCGACAAACCTCTCGCGAATTTGACCAAAGAAAGGAAGGAACGCATTTCAATAGCAAGGATGAGGGATGAAAGAGGGAATATTACAATGGATCATAGTGAAATCAAAAGGATAATTACACAGTACTATGAAGGACTGTACTCCAATGAATTAAAAAACTTGGAAGACATGGATGAATTCTTGGAAAAATAATCCCTCCCCAGATTATCCCCAATGGCCATCAAAAACCTCAACAGACACTTTTCAGTAGAAGAAATAGACAAGGCTATCAAAGAATTAAAAACTAAGAAGGCCCCAGGACCAGATGGTTTCACGGGTGAATTTTATCAAGCATTCAGGGAAGAGCGGACACCAATCCTACACAAACTCTTCCAGAACATAGAAAAAGATGGCAAACTCCCAAATTCCTTCTACAAAGCAAGTATAACTCTGATACTAAACCAGGCAAGGATCCCACAATAATTGAGAACTACAGAACAATTTCCCTAATGAATATCGATGCAAAAATCCTTAACAAAATACTAGCTAAGAGAACATAAAAATATATAAAACAAATAATTCATCATGACCAAGTGAGATTCACACCAGGGATGCAGGGATGGTTCAACATACAAAAGACCGTAAGTATTATTCGTCACATTGAAATGAAGAAATATAAGAACCACATGATAGCAATAGATGCAGAAAAAGCGTTCAACAACATCCAACAACAATTCATGTTTAAGACCCTCAAGAAGATAGGAATGGAAGGAAAATTCCTCAATACAATACAAGCTATATATGAAAAACCAACAGCCAATGTGGTAGTCAATGGCAAAAAGACACCCTTTAAAAGGAAGGATGGGAAAAGGTATGGGTAACAGGGCACTTACCCACACAGGGGAAGGGTATCTATTGTGTCTCCACAGGGAAAGAGGGACCAGACTTCAACCTGGAGCGCCAAGACAGGAACACAACACACTGTCATGAAGCCGGAACCGATGGAGAGGCCTGAGAGGCCGGCCCCATTACCAACTGGGTGCACGACACCACCCCTCCCCCAGGGGGAATTCACTTCAGAGGACAGCACTGAAGCTGCAGCTCCGGAAGAGGGGAAGGGGGACTGGACTGATCTGGTGGGAGCGCATGTGAGCCAATGAGGGGGGAAGGGGGAGAAAAGGAAAAAGTGGAGCACATCCTGGCTTGCCGGACCCTGGGGACAATGTGCCTGTTCAGAACAGCGATGCATGAAGATGACCACAGGGTCAGCCCCACCACGGGACACAGCGTTCCTCGTTGACCCATGGCACCACTGGAGACAAACGGCAGGAATTGTGCCCACCATGAGCTCACCACACGGAACACCAGCCTCTGGGGGCATGCATCAGAGCAGCAGGGGGAACAGAGCGGTGAGGTCCCCAGGGATAGAGGTGGTGCCAGGGCATGGCTCCCCACCAGACATGACTGGAAAGCACATGTGAAGGAAAACAAACAGACACGGAACTATTCATACGGTTATGTGTGTGTGTGTGTGTGTGTGTGTGTGTTGTAGTTGCAGCCATTGTTTACTTTCTGTTGTCGCTTCATTGCACTCAGTCTGGTGATGGTACATAGCATGTCTACCTGGAAGGGATAGGTGGAATAAACAAGCCACAGAGAGAACAACGGGATGACAGATCCGGGGAACATGGGGGTAGTGGAGGCGGGGAAAGGAAGAGAGTGTTAACAAGCACAGGGACAAGGGAACAACAAGTCATCCAAAATCAATGTCAAGGAGGGTGCAGGAGGGCTTGCAGGGCTGGATCGAGGGCAATGTAACCGAGAGGAATGCCTAAAACCCAAATGAAGGCAGAATATGATAGTGGAACAAGAGGAAAGTACAAAGAAATAAAGGAAAGAACTAGGAGGCAAAGGGTAGTCATAGAGATGTAAATACAGGCATATAAAGATGTAAATATATTTATATATGACGAGGGGGAAATAGATCTATGTACATATATTTATAGGTTGAGTATTAAGAAAACAGATGGACAGTGGGCCCCTGCACAAGTACTCCCTCAACACACGAACACTTTGTTCTAACAATTCGGCAGTCTGAGATGCTCACCTGCCTGGCAGGATCGCTGAAGACAATGGGTACACAAGAAAATATGGTGAAGAAAGCAGATGGTGCTTGGCAACCAAAAGATATAACACCTGAAGTCACTGAAGACAATGGGTGCAACAAGCAAATATGGTAAAGAAAGCTGATGGTGCCCAGCTACCAAAAGATATAGCACCTGAAGCCTTAAAGACCTGAAGATAAACAAGCAGCCATCTAGCTGAGAGACAACAAAACCCACACGGAAGAAGCACACCAGCCTGTCCCTACTAGATCGCTGAGGACAAAGGGGGGGCATTAGCAAAAATGGTGAAGAAAGCAGATGGTGCCCAGCTATCAAATGATATAGCATCTGGGGTCTTAAAGGCTTGAAGACAAACAGGCGGCCATCTAATTAAGAAACAACAAAACCCTCAAGGAAGAAGCACATCAGCCTACCCCAACATGAATGCTGAAGACAAAGCGGGTACATAAGCAAATGTGAAGAAAGCTGATGGTGCCAAGCTGTCAAATTACATAGAATCTGGGGTCCCACATGCTGGAAGATAAACAAGGGGCCATCTAACTGAGAAACAACAAAGCCCACATGGAAGAGGCACACCAGCCTGTAAGATGACACAGCAGCGAAGGGATCAGGTATCAGGCATCAAAGACCAAAAAAAAAAAAAAAAATCATAACATTGTGAAATAGGGGGAGTGCAGAGTGGGGACAACCCAGGGCCCATCCGGGGGAAATTGGGCATCCCCTTGCAGAAGGGCTGCGGGGAGGAGATGAGCCAATCAGAGTGCAGTGTAGTAATGATGAAATATGCAATTTTCCTCTAGTTCTTAAATGCTTCCTCCACCCCACTACCATGATCTCAATTCTACCTTACATATCCGACTGGACTGGAGGATGTACACTGGCACAGACAGGAACTGGAAATACAGTGAACCCAGGACAGATGAACCCCCCAGGACCAGTGGAGAGAGTGGCGATAGCGGGAGGGTGGAGGGAAGGTGAGGGAGAAAGGGGGAACAGAAGACAAGGTGTACATATGGCCTCCTCCCTGGGGGACGGACAGCGGAGAAGGGGGTGAGGGAGACGTCAGATGGGGTAAGATATGATAAAATAATTTATAAATTATCAAGGGTTCAGGAGAAGGGGGGAGTGCGGAGGGAGGGGGAAAAATGAGGAGCTGATACCAAGGGCTCAAGTGGAAAGCAGGTGTTGTGAG